ACTCGACAATATGTGTCATAATATCTCTAATAAGTGTACATATATTTCCCATCCATATAAATTTGTAATTTCTTTCTCTCCCTTTTTTTTCACTCATTTTCTGTATCTCAGGAGAATCTATGTAAGACTAAAGGTATTGTTGTTGTTTCTTATCCCCTTGTGCAAATTAATTTCCATGAGTCCAGCTTCCCGGGCTAGACTAAAGGTCTTAATAAAGGTTGGAAAATTTGCCGGGAGGAAATTGATCCATAGAATTTGACGTTTATTTTGACGGGAGAGGCGCCCTATACTTCTATGGATCAATTTCCTCCCCCGGCAAATTTTCCATCTATTTTATAGCCATAGATTTGGCCCAGCCACCTTGCCAACAAAACACCTCTTTGGTAGATTGTGAAGATTCCATTAGATCCCGTGTGGATCTCATGGAATAAAGTCTGCCCTAGACTGATGAGGGCCATTAGCCCGAAACCATGGTCTCTAGGTGGACGCTTCTCAGTTTGCCAAAGCTGGTGTTGTGGCTTTGTCACCGACCCGAGGCCGCTAGTTGCGGCAACGGTCAATAGATGGCGTCAGTTTTTGACGTCTATTTTGACGGGAGAGGCAGGCGCCCTATGCTTCTATGGATTAATAAAGGTTGTATTGATTAATATTTAAATGAAATGACCAGTTTATCTTGAGGATTAGAAAACAATATGTATATACAAATCTGAACTGGACTTGGTGGTCTGATAATGAGAGCTTTGCCAGTTTTACTGGGGTCGGTGGAAGGATGGTCTAAACAGTTGGTTTTCAACCTCTACGACCCAGGATTGAATCCCACATTAGGCACTTTTTCTGATAAAAAAAAAAAATGCTCCAATGGCCCCTGATTCTTGCAAAAGTCCAACCCTACCAGCGAGTGCAAGTAACCAAACGGGCACTGGCACATTATTTGCAACGGCAAAAGTCTAACTGCTTTTCACATGTGTAGACATGTGGTGCACTTACAGTAAAAGCAGCCACCAACTTCTACCCACCATGATTATCGTAGCCTGTACAACGTGTACTAGGGATAATTGAACACAAGGTAATAAGACCAAATCCAAATAAATAAATAGTGTGTGACATTTCGGGAACAGCGTTGTTACCATCTTCAGACAAAAGTACTGAATGTAGAAAGTGCTGAATGTTACCGAAACGCACACACTATCTATTTATTTGGATTTGGTCTTATTACCTTGTGTTTATAATCTATAATCCAAATTGTGCCTTATCATAGGGATAATTGAAAAAAAAAAGTTTTACTTTCATTAAATAAGTAGTCCCAGTTCTCCTTCCAAACTTGCCATTTCTGTCAACCATAAAATTATACTCCTTCTAATGGTATGCAATAGGAAAGGAGTGACTTTTAATGAAATAGCTGTTGTAGAGGAAGTCAAGAGGAGTGTCAGAGACCTGGTCATTATAGGAAGTGCAGAGTAAAAAATATTAGAAGTTTCAAATTAATCATAAGGCAATTACACACCATTTATAAGTAAGAAATAAAATGATTAAGCATGAATGTTTCTACTACACATAAAACAAACTTCATACTGTCCTTATTGTGATGTAAAATATATTAGGAGGGCTTGGCTCATCAGTAGTGAACTCTCCCAGCCATTTTGCCAATTTAATTCACCAGACCACTTTTTAGAGCTCTAAATTGTATTGAACAATTCTGCTCATATATGACTCACCACTGATGAGCCCTCCCACTATATTTCATCGCAGTAAGGGCAGTGTGGTAGGAAGGATAATTGGACCAGATAGAAGGAGAAACTCTAGGAAGAAAAGAGGTCAAGCATGGTGCCACCAAGCCCTGCTCAAGAGGAATAAGAGGAATTAAAGAACCATCTGAAGTTTTAGCCATGAATTAGTTCACCATCCTGTTGTTGTTTCTTATCCCCTTGTGTAAAGATTACACCAATTCCATGAGTTCATGCTCCTTGAGCTGTTTCATGTTAAGCAGCTGCCTCTCCCAAAGGTCCTGTTTAGTGCATCTAATGCAAGCCAAAATGTGTTCTGGAGCTGCAGGTGCCAAGCTACATTTTGGGCAAGTGGGGTAGATTTTGATGTTATTTTCTATCTTCAATGGCTTGAGATGGCCTGTTCTAAATCTTGTTTAGTGTTGTTTGGTGCTGTCTATTTCTGATGTTCAGAGCTCCTCCTGGGTCCACTCCACCAGCTGTTCACCATCCTACAGAGAGCAATAGCTTGGCTGTGTGTGTTTACAGTTCTATGACCTGGAGTGGCTCTTCAAGGTGAATGGGGAGGTTCCAGACACCCGGTACATCTTCATGGTGAGTTTGTATTGTATGGTAGATCAATCATGCTACAGCTGTTTTACTTGGCCATTCAGAGAACAGAAGCAAGAAAATCCTGCTTTGATGATTGTAGCACTGTTAATACTAAACACTTATTTGTATTATAAAATAAATGTAGCTTCCCGGGCTAAGTTTCTTGTTCAACTTTTTATTTTCAAGCTTTCAGACTTGTCAGTCCTTCAACAGGAGTTATCACATTATAAATTAATGATGAATACTATTTTTATAAACAAATTATTATTTACATATTTTAAATATTTATGATATTGAAAGGGAGAGAGAAAAATATTTACTTACTATTATTATTACTTATTTGTATATAGATAAGGAACAATTTGGATTATAGATTATAAACACAAGGTAATAAGACCAAATCCAAATAAATAAATAGTTTGTGACGTTTCGGTAACAGCGTTGTTACAGAAATGTCACACACTATTTATTTATTTGGATTTGGTCTTATTACCTTGTGTTTATTTGTATATAGATGTAAATTTTGCCGGAAGGATATTGTTTCTTATCCCCTTGTGATTACATGAATTCCATGAGTTGATGTTCCTCGAGCTGTTTTATGATAAGCAGCGGCCTCTCCCAAAGGTCCTGTAGGAGGATATTGATCTATAAATGATATTTTAAAAATCCTTCTGGTAAAATTTACATGTTTATTTTAGCCATAGCCACAACGCTGTTACCAAAATGTCACACACTATTAATTTATTTGGATTAAGTCTTATTTTCTTATAGCTATAATCTACAATCCAAATTATGCTTCATCATTTTTGATCGACTTCAATGGACCTAAGAAGTTATTCTTCCTATGAGCTGAAGAATTCCAAAGTGAATATCAATTTTGATGCTATCACTTGAAGATTCTATTGTAAAGAATTCATGATCTGAAGCTCTCCTCTATTTTTTTTCTTTTGTCTGAGGGTAACAACGCTGTTACCGAAATGTCACACACTATTAATTTATTTGGATTAGGTCTTACTTTCTTGTAGCTATAATCTCTAATCCAAATTGGGTTTTATCAGCGCAAATAATATATTGCAGTAGAACCCCCCTGTAAAGGACAAAACCTAATTGAAGAGCCAAAGTGTCCTTTAGGGACAGAGATGTCCTCTTACCGGAGAGTGGCTAAATAGTAAAAAATGGTAATTTTGCAAATGAAAACTGTCCTTTGTGGAGAAGTGTCCGCTAGCGAGGTGTTCACTAAAGGGAGGGTCTACTGTATTATATTAACCCCAATTCAAAAATTAGCCTTAGAGATTTTCATCTGGCCTTATGTCTTATCGACGAAGCTGGAGAAGAAATGGTTGAGGCGCAACATTCAGGATTAGATCCCTCTGGGCAGGCTGATTGGAACCCATTTATTGACCACTATTGTGTTTCTGAGGAAGGGAACAGAAGGCAGGCACAGAAAAGACAAAGTATGTGCAGAAAAGGGCAAAACCGGACAACCTTAAAGAAAAAAACACATCCTTTTTTTTCCTTATCCCTAGTACACGTGGTACAGGCCATGATAATCATGGTGGGTAGAAGTAGGCGACTGCTTTTACTGTAAGTGCACCACAAGTCTACACATGTGAAAAACAGTTAGACTTTGCACTTACAATGTGCCAGAGCCCTGTTTGGTTACTTGCACTCGCTGGTAGGGTTGGACTTTTGCAAGAATCAGGGGCCATTTGAGCATGTTTTTTAAAATCAGAAAAAGTGCCCAATGCGGGAATTGAACCTGGGTCGTAGCAGTTGAAAACCAACAGTTTAGACCATCAAAAACACATCCTACATATATGAAACATGCCAAGTGACTCAGAAGACTGCTTCAAATCTTATCACACAAAGATAAACTATTGGCAGTAACTTTTATCTTTTTGTCTTAAAATAAATATTTATAGAAATGTGCATATAGCACCTTATCTGATCATATTTTTTCCTTTTACTCATTGTCTATATAGTATTATGTGAAGTTAAATTGTATTTTGCCTGATCTCAATATATAGATTTTTAAAAAGAAAATACATTATTGTAATCATTTATTATTTCAAAAACTCTCTATTTTCAAGATTATATAATAGACTATATTTACAATTACAAGGTGAGAAGACCAAATCCAAATAAATAAATAGTGTGTGACATTTCGGAAACAGCATTGTTACCATCTTCAGACAAAAGTACTGAGCATTCAGTTCTTTTGTCTGAAGATGGTAACAATGCTGTTACCGAAACATCACACACTATTTATTTATTTGGATTTGGTCTTATCACCTTGTGTTTATAACCTATAATCCAAATTGTGTCTTATTATATTTACAATTCACAATTGAAAATGGGGGTCGTGGAAGGATGGTCTAAACCAGTGATTCTCAACCTTTTTTTTTTGTTGCAGCATTATTTTAAAGATTTGAAAATTTGGCGGCACAATTTTAGAATTTCGCGGCACACTTTTGCTAACTTGAATGCAAGAAAATTCAAATTATGTATCAATATTTCTATGCAAAATATAAGTAATATACATCTCTAACATTCAGTTTGCTAATTTCGTTATTTTAAAAAGTAAAAAAATGAAAAAGAAAAAAAGAAAAACCAATACAAACGTGAACATAATCATATGACTAAAATTCGGCGGCACATTTTTAGAATTTCGCGGCACACAAAATTACCGCGGCACATTGGTTGAGAATCACTGGTCTAAACTGTTGGTTCTCGACCGCTATGATCCGGGTTCAATTCCCGCATTGGGTACTTTTTTCTGATAAAAAAAAAAAATTGCTCCAATGGCCCCTGATTCTTGCAAAAGTCTTAACCCCACCAGCGAGTGCAAATAACCAAACGGGGCTCTGGCACATTTGTAAGTACAAAGTCGAACTGCTTTTTACATGTGTAGACATGTGGTGCACTTACAGTAAAAGCAGTCGCCTGCTTCTACCTACCATGATTATCATGGCCTGTACCACGTGTACTAGGGATAAGCAAAAAAAAAACTATTTGAGAACGTGCTGTGATATTTTTTTCTCATTTATTCTTTTGTCTGATGATGGTAACAATGCTGTTACCGAAACGTCACCCACTATTAAATTATTTGGATTAGGTCTTATTACCTTGTATTTATAACCTGATCATTTAGAACTTGGTGAAAGTGTCTGCTAAACCTGGGGTAGGTGGGTTTGACTGGACAGGGGCTCCACAGGAAAATCACAGAGAGAAGCCCGTCTTCTTACTTGGGTACATCTTGTTGGACTAATTGTCTCTTTTCGCATGTTAATAACCAATCTCCGACATCACCTGACTGCCGTGCCTGAAAGAATCTGTTCATTCACTCTGTGGTCAGATTTTTCATAATGAGATAACTACTATCTATGATTAGTGTTTTACATGGACTCAGCTGGCCCAGCTGATAGTACCCTGTAAGGGCTCCTAATCCAGGGATACAGGATGAGCAGCGTTTGTACTCCATGTTAGGAGCGGCTGCACATGGCGTCTGTTCCTCATGTCAGAGGTGGCCATTTCTTTTTAAGCTAAGTCGGCCTGCCACTGAGTAGTGCTCCCAGTCTTAATGACAAAGACATTCTACTTCACCCAGCCAAGTCTCAAGGTTTACAAGCTTGATACCCTAATATGATTGAGTGGAGATAAGAAAGTAGTGTTTTACATTGGGAATACATCACACCACAAAATTTATTGTTGAGAAATTATTTGTTTGATGGTGTTTTTTGATACACGAGCATTTTTTATAATATAATCCTTTGCTAGTAATTTTAGATAATAAACGTCTAAGGATGAGTATCTTTTATTAAATGTTTTTCGAGCTTTCGGGATAACGACCCTTCTACAGGAAAATTGATACAGTTTCATAAGATTTTTAACCAATTTTAAATTTATAAATTTATGAAACTGTATCAATTTTCTTGTAGAAGGGCGTTATTCCGAAAGCTCGAAAAACATTTAATAAAAGATACTCATCCTTAGAGGTTCACTTCTCCTTCTTTCTTATCTCCACTTAATCGTATTAGGATATCAAGTTGTTACCCTTGATGGTGTCTGTTTGACAGCCATCATGACTGGGTGAAGTAGAATGCGTCTGCCTTTGTCATTAAGACTGGGAGCACTACTCAGTGGCAGGCCGACTTAGCTCCAAAAGAAATGGCCGTCTCTGATATGAGGAACAGACGCCATGTGTAGCCCCTCCTAACATGGCGTACAAACGCTGCTCATCCTGTATCCCTGGATTAGGAGCCCTTACAGGGTACTATCAACCGGGCCAGCTGAGCCCAGGTTTTTCACCGAGCTTGTTACTGTTTTCCCTCCTCCTTTTTCATCTGGGCTTGGGATTGGCAAAGGTGGAGTTGAGGTTCACTTTATTATCTAAAACGTGAGCATTTTGTCAATGGTTTGCAGAAATGACATATTATTATTTATTTTAATTGAGCTGATGAAACAATTTAGGAATAAATACCTAACTTGAGGCGTGAAGAATAAAGAAAATAGAATATTCAAGTATTTACATATTTACCAAAAATTTGTGCCGGCCAAGGGAAAACAACAACATTGAATTTATAAAGTGAAAAGAGGCGCTATCTGACGACCAATTTCACAGAGTTGTTAAAGAAAAATGTATTTTAAAATTAGATTTTGTTACTATGCTTTGATCCGGAGTCTCTTGGAAGAATGCTAGCTCTTGGTGTTGATCCTGGTGGAATTCCAGTGTTGTAGCATCATCACATTGGAATTCTCTGGCTGGGGATTACCTGAAAATTTCTCTCTTTAATCAAGGACTGAATTCTTTAAATTGGTATTTCTTCTATTCCAACTTGTTTTTAAAAAATGCAAATAATTTTGTGTGTGAATTATTGATAAACTTGACAATATAAATAACCTCTTTGTGATGTTTTGACAAATTCAGTTGACTAGAGAATGACCACTTAGATCTGATGGCATTGTTGCTTTGGTCTTTGCTGCTACTCTGAATAAATGACCAAAAATAGCTATTTCTCCTCAAAGTTCAGGTGTTGCATTAACTCCTCTGAAAAAGGAAATAGTGGGGAGATTTGACAACCATCATGACTGGGTGAAGTAGAATGCCTTTGTCATTAAGACTGGGATCACTACTCAGTAGCAGGCCACTGACTTAGCTCCAATATGAATTATAGATTTATAGTTATAGAAATTATAATTTTTAAATAAAATAATTTTTATATAACATATATATATATAATTTATTTTTGCTCCATTAGATGGCGCTCTGCCATCTAAAAACACATGTGCTCGTGGTCAGGAGATGCCTTCTTTATTTTTAATATCAACACCTGACCCACTTATCTTTTATTTTTTTTCTATTGTTTTTTTTTTTTTTTTTTCATGTGTTAAGCGTCTTTACGCAAATTTGGCCTTAAATACCCATTTCTTGATTTTTCGGGAAGCCATTGGGACCAAAAATCTTTTTGGTCGCAGTAGTTACAGCCTTCTTCACGCTGACAAGCGCCAACAGCGCGAAACGCGTTCGTGGATGGCTTTTCTTGATTAATCAAGAAATTGGGTTGGCCAAATATCACGGAGCAAGCTAAATAAATGTTTTGTTTATTTTTGCTCCACTAGATGGCGCTCTGCCATCTAAAAAGCACATGTGCTCGTGGTCAGGAGATGCCTTCTTTATTTTTAATATATAAAATTAAAAAGGCATATATTGGATCAAAATATGCCTTTTTAATTAAAGATCTATTTATGGACTGCTCTATTTAAAAAATTATATTTATGAGGAATGTGATGTGTGCAGGGAGACTTTGTGGACCGGGGCTATTACAGTCTGGAATCCTTGACGCGACTGCTCACACTGAAGGCAAAGTATGGCTGTCCCTTCTCTGTTGCTGCAGGTAACCTCTGGTTGTGTGGCCCAGGTGGCCAGGCCGCATCACCCTCCTCCGTGGCAACCACGAGAGCCGCCAGATCACCCAGGTCTATGGCTTCTATGGTAAGCAAATACATTTTGTAGTTCTGTAATATCAGCAGGTCTACAATAACACTCACTGATGTCAAATTTCAAATATATATATGTCATAATTTGTATAATTCCCAATAGATACAATTTATTTTTACCATAATTAATATGTTAAAATGTAAATACAAATTCACCCATTTATAAATCTGTACAAAATAAACGTGGGAGCCAGCGAACGCCACGGCACGCGTACTCACGAGTGTGGAACAAGTTTTTTTTGCCGCATACATGCACAACGGTCGCACCCTTCCATTTGAACACGACGGATACGACATATATATATATATTACAATGACAGAGGTGCCCGATATAGAGAATTGAATTTGCTAAGGTTTTCAAGGATTGGAATTCATGATTGGGATTGCAGTCATGGCAAAAATAATATGAACAGTTTAGATCATTATTTGCCAATCTGTTTTAATTAAGCTTATAAAACACAAAATACATAATCTGAGAAAAACACTGCCTGACTTAAGGCATAAGAATAAAGAAAATGAAAGGCTTATTTACAAAAGGTTTGAGCCGGCCAACGGAAAACAACAACAATAGGCTATATAAAGGGAAGTCGCGACATCTCACGGTATATTTAACTGAATATTTGAATCTATGAAATATAATTTTAAATAAAATAATATTTTTATATAACATATATATTTTTTGCTAAATACAGTTGAACCTCCCTGTAAAGGACACCTAATTTCAGAGCCAAAGTGTCCTTTAGGGAGAAGTGACTTCTTACCAGAGAGTTGCTAAATTGTAAAAATGGTAATTTTGCAAATGAAAACTATCCTTTGTGAAGAGGTGTCCGCTAAAGAGAGGTTCTACTGTATACTTTTTTAATGAAGAGAATGCCTTTCTCTTAATTTATCCATCTGATCCCAGTACAATCTCACTTTTGTACTATTTTTTTCTTCACATAGTTTAGCATTCTCATGCCCTTCCGGCCTTAAATACCTCATTTCATGATGCCTCTCAGACCAACTATTTTTGGTCAATGTACAGCTTGCACCACGCTGATGAGGGCCAACAACCCGAAACACGTGGTTAGCTTTTCTTGATTAATCAAGAAAAGGAATTTGGTCAATTCTAGAAAGATAAAAAATCAACGATTAGTTTATATTTATTCTGAAAGATGACGCAAGCCATCAACTTTTATTTGCATCAAGATATACCTTCTCTTAAAATATCCACTTGATCCTATTACAATTTCATTTTCGTACTATTTTTGTCACATAGTTTTTAAAGAGCTAAAATTGGGGCCATTGGAGCATTTTTTTTTTAAATAGAAAAAGTGCCCAATGCAGGATTTGAACCCGGGTCATAGCGGTTGAAAACCAACGATTTAGACCACCCTTCCACTAACCCCCCCCCCCCCCCCCCCCCCCCCCTTGTAATGTGCATTGTAGAAGAATGTTAAATTGGACTGATAGAATTACCAATACCTGAATAGGAATTTGTAATGTCTATCAAAACAAATGTCAGGGAAAATGTGAATGTTTGAGTCATGTGGGATGAGAAATGATAACAAATATCGCCCAGAGCTATTTTTTCCTTCTTTCTTATCTCCACACTGGGTGAAGTAGAATGCGTCTGCCTTTGTCATTAAGACTGGGGGCACTACTCAGTGGCAGGCCGACTTTGCTCCAAAAGAAATAGTCGCCTCTGACACAAGGAACAGACGCCATGTGCAGCCACTCCTAACATGCGGAGTACAAACGCCCAGAGCTATTTAAATTAACACTACAAGGAG